TGGGTTATAATATTTTTAAACAAATCAATGCTTATAGAATAGAATTCTATAGAATTCTATATTGGCAAGATTAAAGTATATCACCCAGGTCGAGCAATCCGACAGTAGGCACCTATCGGAACTCATCCGATCCGACTGGAATCCAATAGGATTTTATCGGGTCCTGTCAGATCTTACAGAATTATCGTTGGATTCCGGGTCGATGAATCGATGTCAGATCCTCAGTGTCGGATTCCTATGAATTCCAAGAAAAAACCGTTGCATGTCATCGGGAGTTCATAGGATTCCGACACTGAGAATCCGACATCGATTCCTCGACCCGGAATCCAATAGAATTGTATCGGATTGTAGGATATTTCTAGGTTCCTATCGGATCCGATGTCGGATCAGTCGACCTGAGCACTTTTGCTCTTCATTTGATATTAGAATTCTATTGTAGCTTGTTTGAATTCTGCTTAGAATTCTATAGAATTCTAGGGTAATGGAATATATTTTGTGTAAACAAATGCGTTGGATATGTTGTTCGCTTGGCACAAATTTGGAGGATTAAAGTTGTTTTCGTAAATTTTATGGATACAGGATAGATTTTATACGAAATGAAGGGAATCTAAAACGACTAGTTTAATTGAAAACATCGACACTTCTAATTTATTTCAAACTTACTGATGTCTCTGGTAAACGTGAAATTTATACACAACAGTGTTCTGCGCGCGGATCTTCCTGCTTCAAAAACGGACTGGCAGAACATAGTGCGTCAATTCAAAGGCAACTTTCCAAGTTATTGATAATATAAAAAACTGTTTGTATACTGTTTAAGTGTTTTTGTAAGATAAGCTATATGTAGTTTTATTAAAAAGAAATGAACGAAATTATGTTAGAGTCAGTAGATGACACTCACTGACGCTAAACGTTTCTCGTATGTTATCTATTTCTTGAATCTCTAATTTGATTTGTTACGTAATCTCTCACCTACGACTCATCTCGTGATTATCTTTTTGTTTTTCGTTATTGCGCAGTTGTTGATGTTCTATCGTATCGAATACTCGATATTCAATATATTCTATATATGATACGACGACAAAATCTATTATTGAAACATGTTTAACTCTTTATTTTTGGCAGACTAAATATTAGCTCTACCATTGCTACATAATCCCCAAAACGAGAGCTAACAAATTACAAAGATACGAAACAATTTGTTCATTAAATAGCTTGTTTAATTCTACAAACCTGACTTTAGCGTATACAAAATATTTCATTCTCAATAATGCATGGTATTGTTCCATGTTTGATATAAATGCCAATGTAAATGTTTCTTCTTTTCTCTCGTTTCATGGTGTAATCATGATCAACTATCTTCGATGTGTATCAATTTCTTCTCTAGACATGGATGACTAAAAAAAAAAAATCTAGAGATGAGCAAACAACCATCATTATATCAACATCTTTTTCCAAGCATACTCCTCAGCAGTTGACTACAATAAATCACACAAAACCTTTCATTTTTAAATAAACATTTGAGCTTTGTATTCTGCTCCTACCGATAGAATTCTATTTTCCACTTGTGGTCGTGCGTATGTTTATATTATGCTACTTTTTCGCTATGTACGAAATAACAAAATTCTGAATTCTGCTGGTTAGGCATTCTGCAGGCCCTCTTTGGAATAGGTAATTAGTACATTTAGTCACACATAAATGTTCTCATTAGAATTTACATGAGTTTACTTATGACTTTCTTTCTTTCATTTCTTTATCTACACATTTTCTGTACTATTATCGATTGATTGTTATAAATCGAATATAACTACATTCAGTAGATTCGAATTTGAAGCTGAATATTATTTTAAAGAAGTTCCCTGTATTTAAATTCCCAGACCAATGATTCCGGAGAACAGATACTGCGGGAACCGGCAGGAAAATGACGTAGAATATCTTGGGCCTGGATTCGAATATTTACTGAATGTATTCGCTCACAGAGGGAACCAAACCCCAAGTTAGAGGGATCTCGATAGAACTAGATGAATTCTATCGAACGAACGATTCATTTTTTGTCCAACGCCATTCCTAACTGGAGAAAAATGCAAAATACTGCCAAAAAATAAGGGAAAAGGCAGGTCTTTTTGGTAAAACTCGTCACGATTTGCTCAGCGAGGGAACCAAAAGCTGAAATTGACAGAGCTAGATAGAACTTGGCGATTTCTATCGTCAAGTTCTTCCTAGGATCCNTTGTCCAACGCCATTCCTAACTGGAGAAAAATGCAAAATACTGCCAAAAAATAAGGGAAAAGGCAGGTCTTTTTGGTAAAACTCGTCACGATTTGCTCAGCGAGGGAGCCAAAAGCTGAAATTGGCAGACATGGATAGAACTTGACGAGCTCTGTCGAATGGTCATTTTTACAGTGCTATTCAGTAGTTGGAAGTCCTCCTAAAATGCAAATTCATTGTCAAAAGCTGAGGTTTCCAGTAAAACCCGTCGCGATTCGCTCAGAGAGGGAATCAAAAGCTGAAATTAATCTAGATAGATAGAACTTGACCAGCTCTATCGAATGGACGCATAACCAGTCCGATTTGACTGTTAGATCCCCTCCGAAATGGAAAATCCAGGTCTTATTGCTCGTTTCTCTGACAAAGTGTTGCTGCCTTTATAAAGCTATAGAGATTGACTCGATCAAATTTTTTTTCTCATAATGTGCTGTGAAAGAAGAATTTCTTTTAATTTAAATTTATTTTCTATATGAATATAAATTCATTTTATGATCTTCGTAAGATTTGGATTGCTTTGAACTGTTTGAGATCACAATTCGATAGCGACATCATCGAATTTTTGTTTCATTATTTTCCCGAAAGATAGACATATGTGGACACAAGTCTATACTTTCGGAGGGGATCCTAGGAAGAACTTGACGATAGAAATCGCCAAGTTCTATCTAGCTCTGTCAATTTCAGCTTTTGGTTCCCTCGCTGCGCAAATCGTGACGAGTTTTACCAAAAAGACCTGCCTTTTCCCTTATTTTTTGGCAGTATTTTGCATTTTTCTCCAGTTAGGAATGGCGTTGGACAAAAAATGAATCGTTCGTTCGATAGAATTCATCTAGTTCTATCGAGATCCCTCTAACTTGGGGTTTGGTTCCCTCTGTGAGCGAATACATTCAGTAAATATTCGAATCCAGACCCAAGATATCCTATGTAGGAAAATGCGGGGAAAACCACCGTATCCTGCAGGAAAACACTGAAAATTGCGGGAATCGGAAGCAGTATTCCGGTCGGAGATTTTCAGCTGTTTTCCGGTGATTTTCCAATCGCTTGTTGTCTGCAAACACAGGAAATCGCTTGGAATACACGGGAAAAATTCCGACCGGAATACTGCTTCCACGTTTCAGTGATTTCCGGTGTTTTCCTGTCGTCTCCTGCCGTACGAATTCGATCTGGGATTCAGGCTGCGTTTGAGGTTTTTGTCAATTTTTCATCATAAAGATTTAGTCGATAGTTTACTATGGTTAGCGAACAATAATTTCTAGTTTTTACTTTTTTTAAAGCTTTTCTTCGTTTCAATAATATCATTATTTTAATAAAATAGACCAAGAAAAAGAATTTTACAATTAATATTTGACATTCACAGACGAATCATGTCGCGATTTAGCTAATACAACTAGGGCAAACCCTACTAAGAGTACGTGCGAACGAAGAAGAACCCTTCTTTCTCCCCTGTGAGGCTCACTTTTAGGGATGCTTTTATTTAATCTTATTTTAATCTTTTACGCTCAGTCAATGATGCGTTTTCTTTAGATTAATTGATCTTCTGTCGTGAGCTCACGTAGACAGTTATTTTACCTTGTATAAGTAAATAGATAATCAATGATGTTTAATAAGATCAATTGATGAAATCAGCAGATTGAAGGGAAAAGTAGATTTATGTAAATAATGATAACAGTGAAGAAAAAACAATAAATCTGGCAAACAAATATAAGGATAAATCCTTATATATTCGAACGAGAAAACTAAACAACGCAATAACGAAAAAGCATAGCTAAACCAAAAAGATCACATGATCTCAATCATGAGAAGGATTATCCATATCAAATAGAAAACAAGTAAAGAAAATGTATTTCAATGATATGGATAAGTTAGCGTCATGAAGTGACATCTAGTGACGCTAACATCCCCGGTATTGTACAGTAATAATAAGATGAAATACACTTGATTTTATAATACATCTAATGTATGGTGAAATCAAGTGTACTGTTTAAGATACGGATAGATACAAATTAGTACGGTGTACTGAAATTGCTATTGTCCCAAAACAGACTGTAAACAGTATTCCTTGTGATTGACTTCAATAGCTAAATATTTCGCATAAACGCTGAAAATCTGAATATTGTGTGTATGAATTAAATCAGACTGTGTCGATGAGAATGAACTCAAGTCTTGTACTCAAACTTTTATTGATTCTTTTATTTTCGAATATCTGATCAATGTACATTTTTTATTTGATGCATTTTGTTTTCACATATTTTCTCTAGATTATTAATGTGCCCCGCTTGTGATCGTTTCAACAAGGATGTCTTTGCATGATTGATTGCAAAATGCAAGACATCACTATCTACTTTTATTTTATCTATCTGTCCTACTAAATGCACATGTAACAGCAAATAATTCCAATTTCGGATTACAGTATATAAATAGTAGTGCTATGTGAGAAACAAAAGTTATTAAACATTTTCAGTTGTCTAATCTAATATTTATCAAAAAAATAAAATGCATCAAATTATTTGCCTTGATCACGTACTAAAGCTATGTGACAGCGAAATAAATACAGCGTGAAATTTCATTTTTTCACCCGTACTCTTATTGATTGCAAAAGCAAAAAGGAATGAAGAGAACGAAAGAAAGTTAGCGATGCTTGACGTAAAAAGTGAGAAACTATAAATACTGATTCTACTGTCATCGTACGATTTCAAACTCATTAAGGCCTCACTTCTCTATTTTCAGCGTTCTTCAAAATGAGTCTTGAATTACAAACGAATGTAAATGATGTACTCAACGAAGATCAATTAATGCTGGATTCAAAACCAAAAAAGTAAGTCAAAATTGGTTTTCATTTATTGACTATGATTGTGATTATAACCCCCCCCCCCCCTTTTAATTAATTAATTTTTTGCTAATTACGAACTTTAATTAGCGTTCTCCATCAAAATATGCCTGATTCTTAGCATTTTAAGCTGGAAATATTAAGAGAGTGTGTTCACAATTATAATGACACCCTTAAAACCCTAAAAATACTGATGGAAATCATAAAAATCACCTTAATTTTCTGGAAAACCTTTTAAATCAAATATTAGGAAAAAATGCGGTTCTTAATACAAGACCCCTTGGAAAATTTTTACGCTGGAACATAATAGAAGACCTGGGATCCTTTATTGTGGGGGGAGGGGGGAAGGGGTTCACTCTTAGTCATTTGGACTAATAATTTCAACTGTAAAAAAAAATGGCGTTAAAACGGAGGTACTACAACGTATTTTTCATACCATAATTCGTCAGTTCGTTTACTTCCGTTCAAGGTGGCAATTTCTCAAACATGAGCAAGGTTGCCGTTGAACTTAATATCATTCTTAATTTTCATTGTAATATTGCATGTCTCGTATTTATTATGTTCATTTTCACAGAAGAATATATTTTTAAAAGGATTAACTATAACTATGTAGTTAAAACTTAATGTGAATTTTTTTTTAGTTAGTTCTGCGTCTTTTAGTCGATTATCGGTTAAACCAATGAAAGAACATAGGAAAACTGATCAAACTGTACTATTCTGTATAGCTATACCGTTTTATTAGCTTTTTTCGAGACTAGAAAAAATTGGAATCAGAAACGTCTTTTTGGCATCTGTGAGTGATTTCAGTGAACTTTTGCTGAACATAAAAAAATTCATCGCTCAAAAGCAATACTTAAAATTTCAGTGTTTATCATACTTGAACCTTTTCTCTATGACTTACGAATAGGTTAAGTTTTACTTCATAAAAAATACCTTTACAACAAGTTCAAAAACGTCAGCATGAAAAAAAATACAAAATTGCGATGTTTTTACAATAGTACAAAAAGGAAGTGTTTTCGTTTTTCATTAATTTTGTTTGCTCTCAATTTTATTAGTGAAAGGTTTACCCTCTTAAAGGTTCTATGAAATTTCGGCAAAAAGAATTTCGTCATCTGAATTTGGGTAAGGTTGTCGAATTTCTACAATTGTCGAAATTCTTATGAAATTACGACAGAATTTGTTTTTGTTGGGTATTTTATTCAGGGTTGCCACCTCTTCCGCTTTTTGCGGAAAGTTTCCGCTTTTTCACTTTTTTTCCGCTATTTTTCCGCTGTTCCGCTTTTTTCCGCTTTTTCGTATAAAACGTGTTGCATATCAAACATGAGTACAGAATAATATTTGATATTATTGAATCAATTCTTATTGTTTACAAATATCGCGAGTCATCGTTTTTTTATGTTTTGAAACGTTGATGAAATGAAAAAAATGCCTAATATTCTCAGAAGGATTACAAATCTGCAGCAATATAAGCTTCCGCTTTTTTTCCCGCTTTTTCATTTTTTCTTTCCGCTATTTTCCGCTTTTTAGACTTCATCAGGTGGCAACCCTGAGTTTATTGTCCATATTCCATCAGAATTTGGACAACATAAAGCGCAAAACGAAAGTTTAAGCGAAATTGATTGTTCAAGTTCTTTTAGCATGTCTTTATTCAATTCCTTTTTCATATCAGGAGATACGGATATGATTCAAATGGTGATATAGATAGTTGAAGGGGTCGGTTACATGATATGTTATTAAACGAGACTCTGTCTTGTTATATAGAATTTTCATAATTGAAATTCTTTTTCCATGCAAAAATAGGTTTAAGTGCCTTCCAATTTTTCGCATTTTCTAACCAAGATTTTTTCACAGACTCGATTTTCACCACCAAAACTTGTTTTTTGTGGATTTTTTTACCGATTTTCGAAAATTAATCGCAATTTTTCTTTCACCAGTAAATAAGCGTCACACCCGCCGTCATGCTAATACTTTCCTATTTGTTATTTTGTCTTACTCACTACGACTTTTAGGTTGCACAAAACGCCTTTCTTCACTTTCCTCACTTTATGCCGATTGTTTATTTTTAAATGAAAGAAGAATAAGCTAACAAGATTAAAATAGAAAGACAAAAACCGAAAATATTTTCACGACATATAAAAAGTGGTTTAATATAAAACAAGAACAAATCAAAACGAGTTTTAAGCATAAGAATGAACATGATTAATACGTATAAAATTTAACTTAACTTGTTTATTCATTAGCTTCACCTTGCTGTTTATTATTGTTGTAATTGGTAGCTTGGGATGTAGAAGTGGTTGCAATGAATTCATCTGGGGAAAGAACAAAGTAATAGTCAATCAATGATTTGTGAAATACATCTTTTTTAATCTTAGCTTACTGAGTGTTGCTTTTGACTTCAACGTTTTCCCTTGATTTCGTCGCTTGCTGAGAATAGAATCATGAACAGGTGGCCAAATAATCGACATTTCGACTTCTGAAAAGCTAAACTTTTGTTTAATGGCACACGCAAAAAAAACATAGCATGAAAATAGATACATTTAAAAAAATGTTGTAATTTATTACGTACCATATATTGCTTTAATTCTTGCGTCTTCATCAATTTTCTTAACATCGACATTCTGTAAATCTTGTTTATCAAGAAATAGTGCGTTAATTGACTTTAAAGCATATTTAACTGTATTTTCTTTTGTACCTTGTATTTTTACTAATGAAACAATAACACCCTCCCTTCTAGTATATGCCTAAAATGGAACAATATTTTCGAAAGAATTGAGCTTACAGGTTACTGCTTTTAAAATATAATTGAACTTTCTATTTTTTGTTTCCGCATGATTAAAACTGAGCCTGGCTTTAGGATTTACGTATAATTGCGTTGAGTGCTATTGTTAAAAATCGTATAAGCTCGTGCTAGAATCTTCATAGTATTCAAATAGAAAGATGCAGTGTTAGGACTTCTTCCATATAAAATTCCGTTTATTTTCCATAGTCAACTATCAATAAGACATTGGATATCTTCTCGGGTCGTAGGTCTTCATAAACTAGCCTGCATCTCGGGAAAAATACAAATGAACAACATGAAACGAATAACTACAGTTTCATGTGAAGTACACAAGTTACCTAACAGCAACGTGACGGTGTATTCATCTAAAAAAACTAGGCTTCGAACTCAGTCATATATTGCAGCGATAATGTAGAATGATTTTACAGAAATGACTATTGAGATACACTGTATATAAATTTTAATTCGAATGCTCATAATAGCATTTTAATGATGGATAATTTATTAAAATCAATATTATAATGTTTATAATAGACATGTGCCTGCTCAATGGGCTCGAACAACATGCTTTATATTGATTGTGGTCATGAATTTGAGTGCCTGGATTGATTTGGAAGGTTTAATAGGTGAGATACCTCTTATTGTTGTTCAAGCACCAGAAGGATGGGCATTACCATCTGCGGCATCTTTATGCCTCAGCATGGCAAATATTGCACCTGCTATTATCGTATTGCTCCGCTGGCGCCAAGGAAGCCGGTTCTCAGAGATTCCCTATATTTACCTGATTATCGTTGTTGGCTTGCTATCATGTTGTGTACTAGCTTTTACTTGGCAACGAACGATCTTCTTATTTGGAAGTGAACGGAGTGTATGGTTTTTTTGTTGCTTTTTTACTCTATCAATGCTCGACTGTTCATCTTCTTTGGTCTTCTTCGATTATATGAAGCGATTCCGAGACCACTATTTGACAGCTGTTTTTCTCGGCGAAGGACTCACGGGAATTATTCCTACGTTTCTATTACTCGCTCAAGGTGTAGGTGGTGAGGCAACCTGTGTTTTAACTACCAACGGTACTTCTCTGGAACCTATCTATAGTGAACCACGGTTTAGTGTTAAAATTTATATCTTGCTTCTTGGATGTGTTATCGCGGCATCCCTAATCGCCTTCATCCTACTCAGATGGACAAACATAATCGCATTGGCTGATGCTGTTCAATCAGTAAGTATTTTATTTCGATGTTCATTTAAAAGTTCTAGCCAATTTAACAGAGCGTAGCTATTGAGAATAATATCAGATTTGTAAGAAACTCTATCACCATTGAAACCACTTACAGCGTAAAAATTTTAAGTCACATTCAAATACATGCGAGTGTGATACTATGAAAAATAACTTTCAACGTTGAATTGATTAAAACATTGATTTAATCATGTTTATTTTTTGACAAAAACATGCGAAATTTTTAAAAATTAGTTTTTATATTGTCATTCCACACTCCCTTTTAAATAAATGTATAGATGCAATATAAATTATTCATGTATTTAATTAGCGATCATACGAAAACATTTAAGTTGAAAAGAAACATTCTGAAATGATTTATAATTTTATTTCGATGTATTGATATCTAAGATGATAAACTATGCTAAACGAGACTACTGAAATTTTGAATTTGACAAAGTTTTTCTTTGTTAAACATAATTATTTGAGTAGATAGTACACGACACATGTTCATATCTCTAACTCTGACCAAATCTGAAATACACGACTGTTAATTCTCATAAGAAAATTATATTATAATGTTAGTAAATCCTATCTAATTCAATTAATTCATTAGATTAAGGTCATGCTACATCTTTTCTTACTTCATCTACATTATATCACTTGTTATAAAGCGAGAGATAGTTCTTGTTATAATTTTTACGAAGTCTGAATATATGATTAAATTTGATGTGCAAAACAGAAAATAACTGTAAAACAAACAAAATAACATGGGTGACACAGCTTTGACACTGGATAAGGCGAACACGAAGCAAAATAGTATTTAGAGTTTATAGTCTTTTATTTGTTTTCAATGCTATAAATGTCTTAAAATAAATTTTAGAATTCAATTAAAACGTTTGCACATTTCAGGTAATTTATCAAGCAGAAGAACTTACAACTGGCACCGATCCTAACGAGAATTCCTTAATGACTTCTGTAATTGAATCGCCTGAATCGAAATCTCGCCCACAAATGACTCGTAGAGTATTCATTTTTCTATTATTGATCAACATTATTAATTCAACGATGTTATTTGGATGCTTGCCGTCGCTGAGCACATACGCTTTATTACCATATGGTCAAAAAGCCTTTTACTATTCGAGTCTTTTTACTCCAGCAGCATACTCAGTTGCATTATTGATTAATTTGCGTTGGGAAACCATAACACTACGTGCAACAGTCATAGGATCAGCGATTGGACTAATGCTTTGTATTTTTATCATAATAATTGCAACACAAAGCCCATGTCCTTGGTGGAGTGATACGACACATGGAGCTATAATAATTGCTATTTCTTGGTTTCTAGCAACACTGATTATTGCTTTTCTGCGAATCACTATTGGTCATCGAATTAAATTAGAATGGAAAGACGATCAGGGAATGTTTTATTTTGGCGCAAGTATTCAACTTGGTTTACTATTAGGTGCAATTCCGATGTATTTTTTAGTTAATGTTTTTAATGTTTTCACCGATCGCGAGCCATGTGTTATATACTGCCTGACATAAGATATTTAAAAAAATAAATAAATTAGCCAAGTTCACTTTTGCAATAGATTAATAGAGGAACTGTAGTAGATATTAATATATTCAAAATAAAGCTATAAATATCGAAAATTTTGAGTTACATAAAAAATAACTGAAGATTATTGTTCAAACAGCAGATAAAAGCAGAAAAGGCGGCAATGACAAAGTCAAATTCCATGCTCCTGTCCCCCAATAAAACTGCCTGAAATCGTGCAATTTTCGGGTTTTCATTAATATTTGTTACGTTTTTGTTATAGAGGTAGCCAAGAAAGAAATTGTTGATTTCTATTACGTAGTCTACAACTGATGTCATCTTCATATAACATTCTTTTTTAATTCTGCATAATTCATGTCACTACATCACATCGATAGGCCAATCAATGACAAACGAAGTCTTTCGTTCTCACAATATGAATGCATTAATAAGCTTAAAAATTATACAATTTATTGTACATTTATGCTGGTATCACACTGAAAACAAAAACGGTACAAAACGAAACATTTAAAGGTTTCAATTTCTGAAACGAAGTCGAAACCATTTTGAGATTCGTACGAATAAGGTTTCGGAAAGATCCTTCTTTTGATTCCTTGAAAATAGGATTTACCCTACGACTTTCTGACTAAATCCAATATATTATGATGTCGTTTATGCATCTCAGCTTGAACATCTATTAAAATATACTTAAAAATATGCCCGATCATCCAAACCTTAACCTGCTGTCTCATCTATATCTTTCTCACTATTTAACCTTAGAAATAACTTTTTAAAGCAATTGCTTCCTATATTCGCAAAACTCTCTTCATCTATTTATAAATATTCCTTAAGATTTATATCTACTCTTAACCAATTATTTCTATGCACCAGAAAGAAAGGTACTATATCGCACTAAAGTCTATAATGACTTTATATGGCACTTTTTTTTAGTGCAGTGGCTAATACAAACGAGAACATCCACAATTTCGTATGCAATCCTCTTTCTTCATGTGGTCACGCGTTAGATGGAATGAGCCATAGATGAAACCAGTCTGGGGGTTTTTATCGACCAATTACCGATCCGAAAAGATCAGCCCGAATAGGATCGGCTGGTGTACCGGTCATATCGTGCTACCATTAATTAGCAAGTCTATGGACGGACGACCGGTCAGTCTAGCAGTTACCGACCTGTCCAAAATTCGTAACAGTACCAATTCCATATATGAAGTGGGTATACGTTTACAGAAAACCTACAGATACAGGTCTATATCTTAGATGGACTAGTAATCAACCTCGTAATTATAAAATTAATTTAATTAAGTGTCTATGTACTCGTGCGAAAAGAATATGTTCATCTGATTATCTCTTCAAACAAGAATTAGAATATTATAAGAGCATTTTCATCACGAATGGTTATCCTATTAATGTCATTAAGAAAACTATACATAGTATTGAATTAAGTATTACAAAGAAAAAAACAATTCAGAATACACAAAAAATATTCATTTCAGTTCCTTATTATGGTGAATGTTCCTTAGCATTAGCCAATAAGATTAGAAAAATCATCCAAAATCCTACAGTTAATGTCATTTTTGGATTTAAAGCTGGCAATCGAATTTCCTCATTATTCAGTAAAACATTCCGTGGAACTAATGATAACAAAAGAATAGTGTATGGTTATTCATGTTATGATTATAAAGGATATTATATAAGTCAGACAGCAAGAGGTGCTGAAGTTCGTCAAGAAGAGCATAAAAATGCCTTTAACGGCAACGGTTATTCCAAAATAGCTGAACATTGTCTTAATAACAAACATCGTAACAATTGGAATACTGATATTTTAACCATTGAATCTAATGATTTAAAAAGGAATATAAAAGAAAGCTTACTCATGTATTGGTATAGTAAAAAGAAGGACAAACAAGTGTACTCACAAAAGAGCTTCGTTTTAAATGTGTTCTGATCGATAACAATAACAAGACACATTATTTTGGGGGCGATAAAAATTAATTAATTTATGATAAGAAAACGTTTCCTTATCATATGTGTCTTTGTTCCTTTTCTCTCTTTGTATTGCTCATATATTTATTCTTATCTTGTTCTCATGTCCTTTCATTTCATTTTCTGACTGATGATGTTATGAGTTCATAACGAAACGTCTCACTTTTTCAATAAAATGATTAAAACGGTGTCGATTATTCTCTTATTTATAATAAAAGAAAACAAATTTCACTATTCGATTTCATTACGAACGATAGAAATAGATTCCATTAGAATTACTAAAGTTTGGCGTGAAAATCGAACCTTTGAGATAGAAGCAAAAAAAATCTCATTGTGATCATCATGTTTTATCTAACTTATTCGTATAACAGTCTTAAAAAATCAACAAACGTAGAGTTTCAGAGAAAAGCAAATAAATTTGTAAACAAGAGTTTACTACGGCAGTAAAAGGAACGACACTAAATCCTGTAATCCTTTAATACAATTTCATATTTCTCATTTATTGCACGCTTCTGATGCGTTATTATTGTACATCTGCTCGAAGAAGGAAAACGTAATATTAACTTGTCTTGGTTGATTGCATTTGTCGCATGAGTTAGAGCAATAGTATGCACGAAAAAGAAGTATAAAATATGTAAGGATTTGTCTTTGTATACAGCATATTACTAATCAACATTGTTTCAAACTGGTAAGTTTGGTAATATAGATGTTTATGCACTGGAATTGTACAACCAAAATCTTTAAATTGTTTCCATTCACACTAGAGTTATTTTTCTGACAGTATGTGTCCTATACCTTAAATGGATACCATACCGAAAATAAATCAGGTTATAACAGTCTTCTGTGTTTCATATAGTGAAGCACAGAACTCAAAATGTCTGATAAATCTTTATATTCGATCTATAAAATAGTACTTTCTTATAATCATTTTTTCGAGATCTATTATCTATATTTCATTTTGAAATTTTACGACTTTTTAAGTGCTACATTCATGACAGCTGTTTCGAAGTATCCTCGTAAAGATGAATTTTTGTGCGTGTTGTTTTTGTCTGCTCAAAATTTCGATACAATCAATTCGCTCTAGTGAAAATTAATATTTTCTACTGAACTAAATAGAAAAAAAAACAAATTTAATGTTTCTATACTACTAATTCTGAAATATTCACAGATTTGATTATTTCTTACTTGAATATTTCATAACTTTTAAGATGCTATCTTTGGTTGAACAACGATTTACAAGTATAGCAACTCAACAAAGCATATTTTATAATAACTATCTTCCAGTGTAATATCAATACAATAGATTATTATATGAGAGCAATCTTATTTTAGTTGTTTTCTAAGTGAAACGAAGTAGAAGTCTTTCTTGTACATTTGAGGGTCTCATTCAATTCTAGAACATTTCGAAGTTTTCAGATAACTCCTTATATCTTGATAAGATAATAAATGTAAAGAAAATTGAGCTGACTGACAATTGAAAACGCTGATTCAAAGAAATAGAGCCAAGTTATTTTCATCCTTAATAATGATGCAGGTGAACAGGAAGGTTTAGTTTTTTTTAAAGTATACTTTTGAAAGATCTCAAACCAGTTTTTCGTATACAGACCTGTTATAGCCACTAAGGACCCATTGCTGTCAAACCAATGTCACTTTGTTTATGAAACTTCCATTCGATTTTATTAGATGTGTTTATTTACTCTCATTCTTTTGTTGAATTGATTATTCATACATGACGTCTAGCCTTCACTTGTCGTCTAATTTCATCGTATGCTTTTCCGTTCTGTGTACTCTGATTATTTATCGCGAATCATCTAATTCTCTTTGGGCCTTCACTCCTCCTATTATTCATTTGCCTTTTCTTACGTCTCCTAGTTTTGTATATAAACATGTGCTTTTATGTAAAAGGTACAATTATATAATATGAAGGAACAGAAAACCTAAGGGAACACTAGCTTGTTGTAAGTAGAAAATTATGTCAAAGTATTTCGAAGTAATTTAGTTTTTGAAACATGGATGTAGTCTCAGGTCACTTGTAGTTGCTAGGATAGTTCAAACAGATCAATTCTCTGGATAGGAAGATTTATTTCTAGTAGAAACAGCTTGAAGGAGTTTCTAGACGATTTTTGCTTTAGGAAAATCTTCACATGAGTAGACTTTTTGAGATCGAAGACAACTTATTTTATTCCCACTGTTATTGCTCTTATTTTAATTCCTTTTAACTCCATTTTCAAACTTTATTTCAATTTGAATCGACAAGAATCAAACAAAAAAGAAAAAGAAAAAAAAGCACTCACATATAAAAACGTATATCCCTTTTTATATTCTCTTTTCATACGTTCTCCCCCTCTCATATCTCATCACATACCGGTAACGTTTCTTTTATTGCATAGGGATACATTTAGTACACGGAGAGAGACAAGAGAGAGAGAAAAAAAGAATCAAAGAATGCAATGGATGACACCATAACGAAACACAAAGCAGAATTAGAAGATAACTATATCCTAACTAAATTTATATCATGGCCATTGGGCAGGACACCCACTTCATCGCAAATGAAACTACAACACTCTCATCTTTGTCATTCCTTATTACTATCGTTTTCTATCTTCGAATGTATACTAATCAATTTCCAACAAATATAGTGTTGTAGGATTATTTGCGATGATCTAAATTGCGAAGGGTTTTTTAATATTTCTTATGACACGGTGATCGTGGTAGTTGTGAGTATTTAATTTTTTCATTCGTCATTTCGTCCATTTTCTTCGATATGGCTCTAAAGTACAGGCAAAATTTAATGGTGTAATCTTGACGTAAGTTTTATTTCCGAATCCGAAGTAATAACTTACTTTTTAAAACACCTATCTGTTCGATTTTTATTAAAGTTTCAACTCAAATGAATGCGTATTTTACGCACTATTAAATTGATAGAAGTGATCAATCGGCGGAACGAAATTTGATAGTTAAGTTAGCTTCTACGCATGCCGAAAAAACAAATTTAGCTAGCCCTGAAATTCTTATGGCAATTGTAAAATAGAGTAACCTATATGCGAGTGAAATTTCCGGCGACACTTATATAGTTGCAGTTTTCCCATATTGACTATCTGTCAGTCTAAGAATGACCAAAATATTCTCCATTTTCTATACTAATAGATGATATGCAGCTGTATTTTGTGAATTTTTCCTAGTTTCATCAAGATCTAACTTTTAAAGCACTGTTGATAGAGAAGCACTTGTAAGTTGTCAATAGATCAACTGAAAGAGGGACAAAACGGAATCTGAAACAATGCAGTTTTTCTTGCAGAAATAGATATTACGTTGACTGTTGTATGATTTTAGATATTCAAGAGAGAAATTTTTCGTAAAATTACTTTTATCGCTGTTTCATATTCAAGTTTTAATCATGAATTTGGTTATGAATAAGCGAGCATCGAAACGGCCTACATCTACGGTAGGTTCAGTGGTGCCATCACGCAAGGAACTAACTATTCAATCGTCGGGAAAAACTCAGTATATTGCGTCTTTGCCTCAACAACGTATCTGGCTACATGAACGACTCCATTTTAGCAATTCTGAATTGTCTGTCTATAATATAGTGTTGCCCATAATCGTGAAGCGCGGCTCATTAGCAATAGAATATATTCGTTCACGTTTACTTCGAATAATAGAGGAAAATACAGTACTTCGCACTGCTGTTCGTTTTAACTTGGAACGAAATCAAATCGAACAATACATAGAGCCCCTTTCTGACAATCTCTATTCATTTGAAAATTCACGTGGTATTGCCACATCGGAGCAAATCGATCACATTCTTACGAGAGAATCTGTTGGAAAATATTTTGATCTTGAAAAGGGAAGAGTCTTAAGATGTCATATAATACAACGAAGTGAAGACAAACAAGATCAATTCTTACACAAAGGAGATCTTGTTGCAATTACGTTTCATCATATTGCATTTGACAACAGTTCACTAAAACCATTTATCAAAGCATTTGAAAGAGTATGCAAAACTGATTATCATCAACAATCAGTGTCGCCAATGCCTCAATATATTGATTTCACATTGTATGAACAGGCAATGTTAAACGATCCAAGTGCTGATTCAAAAATGAACAAAGCACGTCGGTTTTGGTTGGAAACCATGCGGGGTTACGATTGGAATAAAAGACGCAGCTTGATGCCTGAAGAAGATAAAGTTGATCGCATCCAATCTGGTAAAGGTTATGCAACTGCATTTGACTTCGACCAAAATATTGTCGATGCGATGATGCTATACGCATCGTCCAACAACGTCACTATGTTTTCATTGACATTAGCCTGTTATTATGTATTTCTATTCAAATTGACTAACAGTGAAGAAGATTTGTGCGTAGCGAGCGTAACAGCTAATCGACCTCTACAGGAAATGGCAGACATGATTGGTATGTTTGTTAACATTTTGCCCTATCGAATCAAAGTTGAACCGCATAAATCATTTTATGATCTCCTTGAGAAAGTACAAAAACTGAGCAGCGATGTTTTGGAGCATGGCTCTTTGCCTTATCAGGAAATTATGAATTTAGACCGCAAACAAGAATATCATGCACTACCTTCAGCATTATTTCAGTATGAATCACTAGTATCATCATTGACACAGAAAAGTAGTATAGAAGTAGCTGTCGGCAAAAATTCTAGTCTTGGTGTTTACTTTGATCGCGACCGATCGCATGGTAATGGAGTAGCAGCATTCGATTTGACTCTTACAATATCACATAACCATCATGCAAAAACTACAGAGTGTTTTATTGATTGTTCGGCCGATGTGTTTAAAAATCAAACGAATGTTGAGATGGTGGGAAATCGTTTTCGACATATGCTTTTCGAACTCTTCTGCTCTCCGATGACTCATGAGCCAATTTATAAATTATCGATTATTATTCCAAGTGAACAAGAGGTGATGCATCAATTAAACAATACAAAGTCGCTGGTATCTTATCCATGGTCATTCGCTATACATGAAAGATTCGCTCGACAAGCTCAATTATATCCACAAAAAATAGTTCTCGAATTGGATCAACAATCACTTACGTATAGTGAACTCCTTCATTATGTACGACGTCTCACAATTCATTTAAGTCAAAGAGTTCAAAAAGATGAAATTGTATGTCAATGCGTTGAAAGATCAATCGAAATGGTTATCGGATTATTAGCAATTTTGTCAAGCGGTGTAGCTTATTGCCCTTTAGCACCTGCAGATCCACCTACAAGGCTGGCAACTCTGGTTCGAGACACACGAGCAAAGACAATTCTTGTTCATAGTTACACTTCGGGAACGTTGGTTGTAGCTGATACATCGTGTGATCTCATTAAAACAGACTCATTTCTTATCTCCGACGAAGAGGAAAAAGATGGTGATGATGATCTCAAACCTATTCTGGTCACACCAAACAAAACTGCTTATATTATTTTCACAAGTGGAACAACTGGTACTCCTAAAGCTGTTGTTATTTCACATTCTAGTTTGATCTATTATCTTCAATCGTCAGTTGAGATTGATGCTCTGCGTACAAGTGATAAGGGAGTACAATTATCTTCATGTACATGGGATGTTCATATTCATGAAATACTTGGCACTTTATTTGTGGGTGGATCAATTGTACTCTTACGATCTGAACAGGGCAATCGTAATATGGATTATTTGGCTCGTGTTATCGAATCTCATCAGGTTACCTTCGTTTGCATCGTCCCAACATTGCAAATTTTACTTTTTGATATCCTCGAAGTACAGCAAGCTTTTCATAGACTCAATACTCTTCGACTAGTGTGGTCCGTAGGTAAGCAGTATTATCAATTTTCCTTGATATAGCATTCATTTTTTGTACGCGTCTCGCTAGGTGAACCAATACCATCATATTTGGTCGCTCGAATTTTACCTTTATTACCAGCGAGCTGTAAATATGTCAATTTTGGTGGTGCTACAGAAGGAACTGTAGTGCAAACTTTTCACACAGTTACAGAAAATGATGCTCATTCATTATCAGGTAGTGTTCCACTCGGCAGGCCAATGCCGTACTTTAAGTTGCACATTCTTGACAAATTTCATCAATCTGTACCTGTGGGATATACAGGCGAGCTTTATACTAGTGGAGCAATTATGAGTGGTTATCTAAATCGACCCGATCTCAATGCCAAGGTATTGATTCAACTAACAGATGAATCTGGCAAAAGTTATAAAACAGGAGATTTAGCTCGATTCTTACCATTGAGCGGTGAAGTTCAATTGTTGGGTCGCGAAGATTCTCAAACAAAATTTAATGGACAACGAGTAGAATTAGGAGAAATCGAAGCAGTCATGTACCGGTCAAGTGCTGCTATCTGCAACTGTGCTGTAATTAAGATGACTGAAAACGGGCGTGATCATCTGGTTGCCTACATACAACCAAGTACGACCGATACAGCAGTATTGTTCGATGCAAAACAAGTTCGTGCTTTCTGTGAAAAGAACTTATCACAATGGATGGTTCCATCTCATTTCATTGTTGTGCATCAATTACCAATAAATTCTAATGGAAAGTTAGATCGGGCAGCACTTCTTAAACCTGATTTGTCGCCACTACCTGAATATGTTGACAATAGTGATGAATATCGAGAAGATGAGCCACCAATGACAGTCGAACAGAACCGTGTACACAATATATGGTGTCATATATTAAAAATTGGTGATAAAAAAAAGATTCCTATCAATAGTTCATTCTTCTCAATGGGTGGCAACTCCTTGACTATGATGCGTCTCTATTCAGAATATCAAAAGTCATTTCAGTGCAATTCACAATGTCCATCATTCAATATTGCCTGTTTATTTCGTCAATCAACAATTGCACAACATGCTTTAATTTTGCAACAATGGTTCCATGATGCTTCTCAGAATGAAGACGTGCAACAAAATCAGAAGCAGAACGAAGTTTGGCGAACTCTAAATATTTTGGAAGGTAACACCACTTAAAAGTTATGTTCATCTGCTAGTCATATAAAATACTCCAATGTTCTACGTTGCTCAACTAAATATTTTCTTTCTTTATCGGTGAATGAGGCCTAATTTTTGATTTTTCTAAATATCAAATACAGTATAACCTCTATAATCTGAACACTCTGGGGACCGTCGAAATCCGTTCAGATTCAAGAGGTGATCATATAGGAGAGGTTTTGTGAAATTATAGAGATTTTTCAAATTTAAAGACATCTATATCATCCATTTATGATGAACTGTGTTTGTTTCGTAATCATTTGTATATTCACACTTGCGTTTCATGATATTGGAGACTGCACCAATAGATATATGAAATTTATCACATAATTCTCGATGAGAAATACCTTGTTCTTTTTCTTTTATTAAATTAATTTTTTCTTCGAGAGAGAGTTCTCGACGAGTGGTCATATTTCACAATGAACAATCACCAAACAAAACAGAATTACATTTCGTATATTATTCAATTACATATGATATTGATTCCGTCGATTTTGTCTATGTCTCTCTCTTTAAGAGATCATCCTCGAATAAGCCAATAGAATACATAGTATTAACTAGACGATAGGTGGCGCTATATGTCAGTTCATATTACAGAGGGTTGATTTACATGGTGGGGACTGAAGAAAAGCGTTCACATTCAGAATCAGGAGGTTTTCATATAGGAGAGGGTCAAAACAAGCAAAATGCGCTCGGGGGGACCGAAGGGTGTTCAGTATGAGGGGGTGTTCACATAGGAGAGGTGTTCATTATTAGAGGTTATACTGTAATTCTATGGTTAGAATTTATACATTAATCTACTACACATGATGACACTCAATAACGGAGTGTCAGAGCCCGACGTTTCGCAATCTAATTATTAGTGTTTCAAACATATTGACCAGTCAAAAAATAAATATGAATATGATGCCTTAGTCCGTATCTGAATGTGTACCTCACAATTTTCGAGACACTTATTGATCAGTTTTAACGTTTTTTACAGTGCCGTTTAGATTAAAATCGAGTTATATATACTTAACTCTAGTGAACTGCTGAAAATCAAACTAGCGATACAGCCATACTCTATAATCTTTTCTAATATCACTCGTGAAAGTTCTCTATAATACATTTCAATACGTTTTCGTAGTATATTCAGATATTTCCATCGATAGATCAAATTATATGCTCCCTGTATACGCTTATAAATGTTGATGATATTTGCCATGAATGAAGTTGTCTTTTTGTAAAAAAAACAACAACACGAAGAAACTGTTTATCATGGAGCATAATAATCTAATAGTAGAAAGTAACATTACTGCATTAGCTGAGGAAACTATTGAATTCTACTATTGCAAATGTATCAATTTTTATTTTTTAGCTGAAGCATCGCATGCTCAACAGCGTATTTTTCTGGATCAGTTAGTACGATTTTCAGATGATACAGCTTTATACAACGTTCCATTGATTTACCGTGTTCAATCTGATAATAATATTGGCGGAATTTCTTTCGATCGTTTACGTCGAGCCATAAACTCTGTGATTGTTAAACATGTCATACTTCGAACATCTTTACACTTAGACAATATTACTGGTCTTTTAACTCAACGTATTGAAAAATTTGACGATCTCAAAGAACAATACAAGTTTTGTGTTAGTCGTTTCGAAAACGGCGAACAAATGACTGCTATTTTGAACCATGAAATAAAAAGTCCAGAATTGTTTGATCTTTCACGTGGAATTGTTTTGCGTTGCCACGTTGTCATCGCTGCTTGTAACAAAAGCTTTATCAATGAGACGGAACGAAATACTCTACAACTAGGTGATATTCTTGTTTTCAATCTTCACCATATTGCTTTTGATGGTGCATCACGACGAATATTCTTTCGTGACCTCAAATGTGCTTTTGAAAACGATGTTCCATTGCCACTGGATGAAAATTCATTGCAATACATCGATTACTCAGTGCTCGAAGGAAAATTGGACATGATACCATCGCGTGACTTCTGGCGTTCGCAACTTGTAGGATTTGACTTCGAACGGCGTCTTTCACTACCCTTTGATCGATACCATTCGTTGACTGAGAATCGATCGGGTCTCGCACATTTAGTTGAGTTTCACTTCGATGAAGATTTGTCAAATGCTTTTCTAGAATATGCTTCTGATCATGGCGTTACACCATTTCAATTAGGTCTCGCCACATTTTATGTATTTTTATTCAAATTAAGCAATAACGAAAGTGATCTATGTACATCTTGTATTCATGCCAATCGCTACAGGGCAGAGCTAGCAGATTTAATTGGTATGTTTGTTGCTACATTACCACATCGAATTCAGCTTGATCCCAACGTATCTTTCGATGAACTTGTCAAGAGAGTTGGAAGTCAGTTTTTTTCAATTATTGAGCATACATATTATCCGCTGCAGCGCATACTTGCTGATTCGGATCACAAGCAATCTTCTGCAGGTTTTCTCCAGATATTATTTGATTTTATAACATACTCAAATGAAGTTGATTTGGTATCGATAAGCAACACACAATTCGAGTCAGTATCATTGGAAAGAATGGAGAACGTTGTCAAATTTGATTTAAAATTGCTATTTTTCTATGATCCAGCAGGTGGCAAAACAATATCGTGTTCTTTGATATGTTCACGAGACGTCTTTGATTTGACAACAGTAGAAAATTTAGCCACGCAATTTCACCATATTCTTTTTCAATTATTTGCCGGACGCAAAACAGCAACATCATTTAATGATCAAGTTCGCGAACCAATATCACAATTATCTCTGATTTTACCCGAAAAATCTCAAGTATTACAACGAACGACATTCCACCACCTGTCGAATATTGACAAGCAAGGTATGAATGTTATCAGAATCTTTTGTCAAATATAATTATGAGCATGTATTGAAGACTATAGCGAAGTAATGACTCATATCACATTAGTTTTTCTTTCTGATTGAGCAGAATATTTTCAAATACTGTTCTTGATGCTTCATCACAGATCATCCATTATGATTGTCGTGAACATTTTTCGACCACGAATATATATGCTTCTTGATGTTTCATATGTTTAGTCTCATCATTATTTCAGTGAAGTCTTTTTATAGTTATCGTGTGTTACATTTTTTTTAAAGACTTTCCATCACTGTTAAACGATGAATACTCAAGGAAATTGAATCAGCATTCGTCTTTTCTTCTATAGTTTCTGAATCATATGTTTTATATCTTTGATACATGTATCGATTCGCAATAGCGTTATTGTAATCCATGAAAATAACTATCGCCTTAAATTTCGTTGAGCTTTATTTGTATCACAAGTAAAGATATATATACGTTTTCTTTAGCTCCCGCTTCATATGCACAATGCCGTATTTGGCGCAAAGAACAAATGTGTCATGCCAGTAATCAAATACAAATGGCAGTTAACAATATGCCTTTTGTATATCGGTTGTCATCGGGTGGTATTCTACCTTTGTATTTATTTCGTCGAGCTTTACAACTCATCGTTATAAAACATGAGTCATTGCGTACAGCCTTGGTTTTCGACACCAATGAAAAGATTTTAATGCAACAAATTATCGATGTGTCTGATGATCAGGAACAATTGTTTGCCATCACAGAAAGTATTTTTCAAACAGAAGAAGAATACAATCATATCTTGAATGACGAACGAAATAATGTAAATCATTTCGATCTTGTTCAAGGTCGTGTATTTCGTTGTCACGTTGTCTACCACAACAAAATTACTCATGATGGGCATATTACTAATCAGGACACAATTATTTTTAATTTTCATCGTGCTGTCTTTGATTTGTTTTCGATAAATTTATTTCAGCGTGAGTTCGAACAGGCTTATGTAACAGGTGAACTTATATCGAATGATTCTACAACTGTACGTTACATCGATTGTAAGTTTAAATTTTTATTTGACGAATCTGATTCACTCTATACTTTCTTAAGATGCTGTTTCTGAACGGCAAATGTCAATGAATGCTGCTAGTCAATTTTGGATTGATGCACTTCAAGATTGTGAAATCGATCGACAATTATCTTTACCTTTTGATCACCGTCGAATTTCTACTGATAAGCGAACTAAACAAATCGCTTCTGCTTCATTTGAATTTGGTGATCATCTTTCTCATGACTTTTTAGCTTATGCTAGAGAAAAAGAAATCACTCCAAAACATCTAGGCCTTGCTTTAAATTTTCTCTTCTTGTTCGGCTTGACAAATGGTGAACGAGACTTATGCATTGGAATGGAAACTGATGTTCGTTATAAATCGGAACTTAAATCTATCATTGGTACGTTTGTTAACAGAATTCCATTACGATGTCGATTCGATCCTAATTGGTCATTCGTTCAACTCGTTGAATATGTTCATGAAATAGCGACAGTTAGCGCTGAATACTCTTACTATCCGCTTGAACGCATCCTTGCTCAATACTCTCAAGGATTACAAGCAGCATTTCTCGACATCTCTTTTGAATTTGACTCGCTCATGTCTGAAAGTGAAAGCAATCAAATAGTAGTTGACGACCTACGCATTACTATGTTACCGTATGGTGCAGCTACCAATACAGGTAGATTGCCGAATGACATTGACTTTACTTTGAAAATACAACATGACAGGATCACTAATAAATTATCATGTTCGACTGATGGATCACTTGATTTATTCGATACAGTGACTATTACAAAAATTTCTCAGCGATTTCATTTATTGATACAACAATTGTTTCAGTCTCAAATCAATTATTCTAACAAACCACTTTACGAATTATCGTTAATACTTCCAGACGAGCATTTATTAATTAAATCGTTGAGTAACAATCAAATTTGCTCTTCTCCTGATTGGTGTGTCCACCATCAGATTAGTCATTGTGCAAGCAATCATCCACAAAAAGTAGCTGTTGAATTAGATGAACAGTCTTTGACATACAGTGAACTACTTTATTATTCTCAATGGCTTGCTCTCAAATTGTTGACAGAGTTTCATGTAAAACCTGGTGATGTCATTTGTCAATGTGTTGAACGTAGTTTGTCTATGGTAATTATATTGAGACGATACTTATTCCAATTATATGATGGATAATTTTTATCTTTAGGTCATTGGTATTTTGTCTATTGTAACGACAGGTGGTGCCTATTGTCCATTGTCGTCGTTAGATCCCACACAACGTCGACAAACACTTGTCAATCAAACACATAGCCATTTAGTTCTTGTTCATTCTAATACGCATGCTAACGTTGGAGTCAACGTAGCCACATTAGATATTGATGCAGTTATAAACTCCGATGAAGTGTTTGCTGGTATAAAATTGAATTCACTTTTAAATGTATCTGTAGCACCAGAAAATATTGCATTCGTAATTTTTACGAGTGGCTCAACTGGAGTTCCAAAAGCGGTTCGTTCATTTACTTATTTTACTAAGTGTGAATTGGAAGAACTTTTCTTATTAGGCTCAGTTGCGTCATCGAAACTTTACTGAATTTATCTGCTCATTTGTTCATGCTGGCATAATCTCGAAACTCGACACAATTATACAAATGGCTCGTTGTACTTTTGATAATCACCTTTTGAGTCTTGTTGGAACATTAGTTGCAGGAGGTACTCTAGTGATGCTTCGACCTGAAGGCAACATGGATTTTGAATATCTTGCTGGAGTACTTGATAAAAAACAAGTCACGGTTATGCATAGTGTTCCATCTTTACTTCGTGGAATATTTACTTTTCTCAAAGAAAATAATCTTAAATCATCAGCGAAATGGCTACGATGTCTATGTAGTGGTGGTCAGTAAATTGTTTTAAGATTCCTTGACACATATATGAACTTATATTTTTATTGATTTCTTGTAGGAGAAACTCTTAGCTTCAAGACAGCTAGTCTCATGAAAAGCCAGGTTAAAGAAACATGTTGGGTTCGAAATCAATACGGTCCAGCGGAATTAACCATAAATTGTGCGTCGAATTTGATTCGCTTGAGTGAAGATCAATCGAACATTCCAATCGGTCGGCTCCTTCCCAATTTTTACTGCCTCATTTTGGATGAATACTTGCAGCCTATTTGCATAGGACATGAAGGTGAACTACTCGTCGGAGGAGTTGGCGTTTTTGCTGGGTACTTCGGTCGTGAGGACTTAACATCGAGAGCATTGATCAACATAGATGGTAAAATGGTTTATAGAACAGGTGATCTTGCTCGAATAGACAGACATGGATTGATTCACTACATAAGTCGAAAAGATCATCAAGTAAAGTTGCATGGGCAGCGCATTGAATTAGGCGAAATTGAAAGGTGTTTGCTAGGAACTGCGATTGCTGCATGTGTTGTTACCAAATGGGGAGATGATCACTTGATCGCTTATGTTCAAAGTTCTAAAGTGAGCGCAAAACAGTTACGTGAACATTGTCAATATCATTTGCCACCATTCATGGTTCCATCATTGTTCATCGTACTCGAAAAGTTTCCATTGAATGTTAATGGTAAAGTAGATCGGAAGTGTCTGCCTCCACCTGATTTCACACTGCTATTATCATCGGCATCAATAACAAGTGAACAAGATCACAATAATCCGAGCAATGAATATGAATTAAGTATACACTCACTTTGGTGCGAACTGTTACATCGCCCTTCCATTTCCAAAGTCGAAAGTATCTTCAGTATTGGTGGACATTCTCTTCTTCTAATACAACTTTATCAACGTTACAAGACAATATTCGGTTTTAATACTCATATTCTTAATATAGCTAAATTCTTCCAATATCCTACGATTGTTGAGCATGCTCGTTTGATCAGTAAATCAATCGACAAGGATAATGATAGCGAAATGTCTTGGCATTCATTACATCTAGTCGAAGGTATGTTCAATCATAAAATGAAAAGGAAACATTATGCTTAGATATTTGTTTTCTTTTCATAGCTCCCTTATCGTTTGCTCAAGAACGCATCATGTTCGACGAACATCTTCGTTTCTCTACGAAGCGCAATACTATGTATACAATATTAATGGCATACCGTATTCAAAATGTTGGTAGCACTATTTCAATCGCACGATTTCATCGAGCACTTAAAGCAATGCTGATCAAACATAAAGTTTTACGTACAGTAATATCATCGGATATGACTGGAACTTTCAAACAATCTGTAATTGATATGACTGACTACCACGATGATCACCGTATTTATGGAGTTACTACACTGAATATGAGCGATGATGAGAACATCAAAAGTCTTTATGATAGAATTGATCATTCAGAAATGTTTGATTTGGCAAAAGGTCGTGTTTTACACTGTTATATTCTCCGGAATCATCGTAATTTGTCACTTAATACAGATCTGTTGACTGATGGTGATGCTTTTATACTTGCTGTTCATCATTCCATATTTGATGGTTTCTCAACGCCAAATTTTCTTATTGACTTGTGTCTTGCCTATGACACTGATGCACCCTCACCTATTGACAACGATACATTACAATATATTGACTATTCTGTTCATGAACGACTTATCAGCATGGAAAAATTGCGCGACTTTTGGCATTTACAACTGAATGGATACGATTTGGCACGACCTTTACCATTACCATTTGATCGCCATCGGGCAGCAGGTGATGAACGATCGGGCTTGTCTTGTATTGCTGAGTTTTCATTTGGTGAAGATTTATCGCGAGCTTTTCTTGATTATGCTTCTTCACGCCACGTGACATCGTTTCAGTTAGGCCTTGCCAGTTTTTATGCTTTTCTGTTCAAATTGTGTAACAATGAAAGCGATTTGTGCGTTGCCGGCATAAGCGCAAACCGATATCGACTGGAATTAAGAGATCTTATCGGTATGTTCGTCACTACTCTACCTTATCGCATTCAAATCAATTCAAACGGTTCTTTTGATAAACTTGTCGAACAAGTTTCCAATTGTTGCCTATCGGTTCTTGAACATTCTCAATATCCTCTACAACATATAATTGTTGATTCGCATAATCAAAAATCAAGTGCTGCATTCCTTGAGACTGTATTCGACTACATCACAATTTCTCCGAAGATTAATCAACTGTCTCTCGGTAAAACACAAATTCAACGAATGGTAGCTCTACAAGCAGATACTGTTGCTAAATTCGATTTTTTGTGTACATTTGTTGAGAACCCTTCTGCAACAGATAATATTATGTCCTGTTCGTTCGTATGCTCACAAGATTTATTTGATCAGACCAAAGTAGAAACAATAGCTAGGCGCTTTCAACAACTTCTTACGCAGATATTTTCCTCCAAATCAATGTTTGACCGAACTGTGGAACCAATCTATAATCTATCTGTTATACTACCTGAAGAATTGGAAGAAATGCAACGCATGGTTTTTCATCGTGTTTTGAATGTTACCCATGAAGGTATGTCTTCAATCTACTGATTATATACTTTTAGGTATTGCTAATTGCAAGATATTCAGCATGATAAGAGTTTTCTTGAAAAAACTTTTCTTTGAATAATCTGACATTCGACTGATTTGATCCAAATTTGCGAGCAGACAGAGATCTAAGAATTAGTCGGATCAATAAAATCAAATATTCTAACTTAAAACATAAAACAGTTTCAAATTTTGAATTGTTCATCGGAAAATCACGCTGTTTTAAATGAGTTAATACGGATCTTTCAAAAGTTATTTAAAGCTCTGAATATTTGGTATCAATAAAACTAAATTCTCTCATAAGTTATTATCATAATAGTTTCAGTATTTTACTTGTAAGAATTCATTGGAGCTATTTAATTTGTATTGCACTGCCAGTAGGTTTTTATTTGAATATTTATCTATTAAATTTTTAATCATGATCTACTGCCTCTAAAATGTTTGATGCACTATATTATATCATAAAATCTTCTGTTCAGCACCTGCCTCCTATGCTCAAGCTCGTATTTGGCTCGATGAACGAATTCGTTTCGATTCTGAGAAGTCAAAAGTAGCTATATACAATCTGCCTTTTCTCCATCGAGTTGCATCAGGAGATACTCTGTCGATTACAAAGCTTCGTAAAGCTCTACAACTTGTAGTAATGAAACATGTCATACTTCGTACATCACTCTATTTTGATACTGATAAAAATATATTGATGCAACGCATTATGGATCCGAATGACAGCGAAGAATTTTTCTCATTCATCGAAAGTACCTTCGAAACCGATGAAGATCTCAACACAATTATGCACAATGAACGTGGCAATCCACATAATTTTAATCTATCAAACGGGCTCGTCTGTCGATGTCATGTTGTCTATCACAAATCAATTTCTAAAAAAAGGATTTTATGTGCAAAAGATGCACTTATTTTCAACTTTCATCATGCTTCATTTGACTTTCCATCAATGGCCGTTTTCCGACGTGACCTAGACCAAGCGTACACCACAGGTCATTTGACAAGTGACGATGACACAAATTTACGTTATCTTGATTGTATGTTAACTGCCTTTTGTTAGAATATTACACTAACATTCTTTTAAATGTTATTTTTTTTAAAGATGCAATTACTGAGCAGCAAATGTCTATGGTAGCTGCTAGTGCTTTTTGGCGTGATGTACTTCATGACTGTGAACTCGATCGACCTTTGCCTTTACCGTTTGATCGACTTCGTGTTTCAGATGAATCTCGTACAGGCCGTGGAGCATCGGTCACTTTTCAGTTTGGTCAAAATCTTTCACAAGCATTCATTACCTATGCTTCAACACATGATTTAAAACTTGAGCATTTAGCACTTGCAGTGTATTACATCTTTCTATTCAAGTTAACAAATGGTGAAACAGACATATGTTTAGTCATGAACACTCATGGTCGCTACAAACCTGAGTTAATGGCAGTTATTGGAATGTTTGTTAATGCAATTCCAATGAGATGTAGATTTGATCCGAATTATTCTTTTTCTCAATTTGTACAACACGTGCAAACAGTGATGATGAACAACTTCGAACATTCTTATTTTCCTCTTCAACATATTCTTGCTCAACATCCACTTGTCTCTCGTCCAGCATTTCTAGACACATTTTTTGGATTCGTCTCTTTTCCAGACGTAAATAGTCGCAGCACAGTGTCAATTGGAGGTGTTAAAATTGTAACCATGCCTTATTCAATCAGAGTCAGCACACATGAGATTGCAAGCAAATATGACTTTTCGTTAAATATACATCATGATTCCGCGACTAATGATCTGTCATACGCAATCGAAGCATCCCTTGACTTATTCACCGCATCGACAGTAAATACTATCGGAAAACGATTTCATGCAATGCTTGAACAACTTTTTGAATCGAACATGACTCATCGAGTACCACAATCGATCTACGGATTGTCGATAATCTTACCTGATGACACAACACTTATTGAATCTATCAAAAACACACAATTAGTATTTCCTCCTCCTCAATGTATGCATCACAATTTTATGCATCGAGTCATTGAAGACCCACAGAAGTTGGCAGTTGAACTTGATGGACAGTCTCTCACCTATAGTGAACTATTATTCTATACACAGCGATTAGCTCTTCATCTGTTGACTAGAAGCAATTTCAGATCTGGTGACATCGTTTGTCAATGTATGGAGCGTAGTATTTCAATGGTGAGTTATCTTGAAACGAAGCATTCGTTTTTATTTAGTTTTGTATGCTAGGTTATGGGTATCTTATCCATTTTAATGGCCGGTGGTTTATATTGTCCACTATCTCCTCGAGATTCTGGTCAACATCTTGAATCCCTTATTTCACAAACTCACAGTAGTTTGATTCTAGTGGACTTGTTGACAAAAGATAAGTTTAAACATAATGATAAAGCCCTCAGCATTGATCTAGCAATCAATAACAATGAACATATCAATGAACATCATCTTGATCAACTGTCAAATGTCAAAGTAACGCCAGAAAGTGTCGCTTATGTGATCTTTACTAGTGGTTCAACAGGCACACCGAAAGCGGTCTGTTTATTTTTAAAAAATGTACCTAATGACTTTCTATTGATGGTATTTTTCTTCTAGGCTCAAGTGCGACATAAAAATTTCACCGGCTGCATTCGATCTCTCGTTCACATTGGCGTATTTGATAAGGCAGATACTATTGTTCAGATGGCTCGTTGTTCATTTGATATTCATATGCAAGACATTATGGGCACATTAGTTGTCGGTGCATCACTAGTCATGCTCCGTCCAAGAGGAAATATGGATTTCGAATATTTAGCAGCAGTCATCAAGAATAAAAAAATCACATTGATGCATGCTGTACCAAGTCTTTTGAGTAGTTTTTCAAATTTTCTAGAAGAGCGCAATTGTCGTTCCGTTATGGACACTGTGCACACATTGTGTAGTAGTGGTCAGTTAACTCACGTCATTAAATTTTAGTGATAGAAATATTCTATTGTATATTTTTAGGAGAAGCTTTGACTGTTCGAGTAGCTCGCATGCTAAATTCTACTATGCCATCGACATGCAAAATTTGGGATTTGTATGGTCCAGCCGAGTGCACACTGATATCAACATATCATTGTGTCGATACAACATTAGACATTGTAAATATTCCTATCGGTCGACCACTTCCAAACTATCAATGTCTGATTATCGATGATTTCTCACAATTAGTTTATGCTGGTCAAAATGGTGAATTACTTGTTGGTGGTGTTGGTGTCTTCGATAGTTATTTGAATCGTGATGATTTAACGGCAAAAGCATTAGTGATAATTGACGAAAACATATTTTATCGAACAGGAGATCTTGTTCGAATAAATAGTCATGGCCTGATAGATTATCTTGGTCGAAAAGATCATCAAGTAAAAGTTCGTGGGCAACGTATTGAGTTAAGCGAAATTGAGCACTGTTTGCTTGATACTTCCATATCTGCATGTGTCGTCATAAAATGGTCCGATGAGCATTTAATTGCTTATGTTCAAGGCTACAATATCGATCAGGAAAAATTACGTGAGCATTGCCGCTCTCATCTTGCTTCATTCATGGTACCATCAATGTTCATTGCACTAGAACAATTTCCATTAAATGCAAATGGTAAATTACATCGACAACGTCTACCCAAACCGAACTTTTCTTCGTTAACTAAAGTAATAGAAGAAGCACTTATTGTTCCGTGTTCACCGATCGAAGAAAGAGTTCTTTCTGTATGGTGTGAAATTCTTCATTGTGACCATGGTAAAATTTCAACTGCGTCAAACTTCTTCAGTATTGGCGGTCATTCGCTATTGTTCATTCAACTTTATCACCGGTATCAATCATTATTTTGTTTTAGCAATGAATTACTTCCAATTACGATGTTTCTTAACCAGACAACGATCAGTGAACATGCAAAGTTACTTGAGTCAGTCAAAAATATTGACAAGGATGGAACAATATGGCAGTCACTCCATTTAATTGACGGTATCGCATCTTTCGCACAAGAACGAATCTATCTTGACGAACAAGTACGATTCAACGATGGTGTATCAGTATACAATGAGTTGACAGCTTTAAGACTGAAAAGTGGTTCCCTATCTAAAGCTCGTCTTCAACGAGCTATTCGATCGGTATTAAAAAGACACCAGGTGCTTCGTACTCGACTTATTCTCGATACTGATCAAGGCACACTAACACAATACGTCACTTGCAATCATTCAATGTTTAAATTTGATATTGTAAACACATTCAAAAGCGATACTGAGCTGGATTCGATATTGTTCCAAGTAAAGAACAATCCTAATCTTTTTGACTTGTCCAATGGGCACGTCTTTCATTGTCAAGTTGTTTGCCAGAACTCGAATGACCGATTTACTTATGATGATCTTATCGGTGAATCAGATGTGCTAGTATTTGCTTTTCATCATGCAGCATTTGACCGAACTTCTCGTCAAATTTTCTTTAATGACTTGAATAGTGTATATGAAGAAGATAAGCCTTTTCCAGACAATGAAGACGCATTTCAATATATTGACTATGCTGTACATGAGCGTCATATGGACATGACATCGGCTAATAAGTTTTGGCATTCACAACTTGATGGATTTAATACGGAGCGTCAGCTAGCATTTTCAATGGACCGATATCGCTTGACTAACGACGACCGGTCTGGTTTTACCGTTATTAATCAATTTCCCTTGGATGATCAATTATCTCAATCGTTTATTAATTATGCTTCTGTACATGAAGTTACGCCATTTCAACTTGGCCTTGCTTTGTTTTATGCATTCACGTTCAAACTAGCGAATGGACTAGCTGACTTGTGTGTTGCTTGTACTAGTGCTAATCGATACAGATCAGAACTGCAAAATTTGATAGGCATGTTTGTTGCTACTCTTCCATATCGTATAGAAGTCGATTCGAATGGCTCTTTCGATCAACTTGTTCAACAAGTTCGAGAGCAGTGTTTTTCAGTTATTGAACACTCGCATTACCCTCTTCAAAATATTCTCGCTGATTTACATCATCTACAATCGACAGCTAACTTTCTTGAAATTGCATACGACTTTGTTACTCTTGCTCGAGATGATGAAAATTTAGAATGCTGCGGCTCAAATTTTCAAATTGTCTCATCTCAACAAATGGATGATGTAGCTAAGTTCGACTGGTTATTAACATTTGTTCACGATCAATCAGCAGTTCACAATCCAATATCGGTTGCCTTGATTTGCTCGAGAGATCTTTTTGATCAGAATACTGTAAATACATTAGGTGCTCGATTTATGTTACTAATACAGGATATATTTGGTTCTAATCCTTCTTTTGATACCAGACAACCACTCTATCAGCTTTCAATCATTTTACCAAATGAATTCTTAGTAATCGATCAACTGATGTACAAAGACAAGACACAAAAAACAACAGCAGACAATATTGTTGGGGATTTATTTTGTCAAGAAGCTGAAAAATATGCGCAAAAAATTGCCGTTGCTCTCGATGAGCAATCCATAACATACAATGAATTACTTTTCTATGTTCAACAGCTCGCTGCTCAGTTGATCAATGAATACGACGTTCAACCAGGCGAAATTATTTGTCAATGCATGGAAAGAACGTTATCGATAGTATATTTATTTGAAAATTATTCTTTTGAATATGAAAACTTCAAATTTCTTTACTATTTAGGTCATTGGCTTAATGTCAATTCAAATAACTGGTGCTGTATACTGTCCACTATCACCACAAGATCCACAGAAACGTCTAGGAAATCTTATTGAACAAACACGAACTCGTTTCATTCTCATTCATTCAATGACAAATAATGTATTTGACAAGAGTAATCTTACATTTGATATTGATACAATTGTGAGCGCTGATGCAACAGTCAGTGATGACGATCTTCGTCGACTTTCGCAAATATCAGTGACTCCAGATAGTATATCATACGTTGTTTTTACAAGTGGCTCAACTGGAACACCAAAAGCGGTTCGTTTAAAATGATCTACTTTTATCTTAAAAATCATTCATTTATATATGTATATTTAGGTTCAAGTTCGGCATCGGAATGTAACGAATTATACTCAATCTATCGTTGAAATTGGTGCATTCAATAATAATGATAACGTCGCACAAATGGCTGGTTGTTCATTCGATATGCATATTCAGGACATTATCAGTACGTTAATTAGTGGTGGCAGTTTGATCATGCTACATCCTCAAGGAAACACAGATTTGGCATATTTCGTTGATCAACTCATGGAAAAAGAGGTCACTTTCATGGATTCTGTACCAAGTTATCTCGGTACGCTGAGCCAATATCTCGAAACTCAAAGAGGTGGTCAATGTTTGGAAAAATTACGATCCGTATGCAGCGGAGGTTAGTCTATTCAAATCAAATCAGCTTTCAGAAAAATAGCTAGATATCATCTCGTCTTTTAGGTGAAAACCTGACTACTCAGATTATAACTCATTTAAAGAAATATGTAGCTCCTTCGTCATCATCATCGCCCGGGTGTCAGTTATGGAATTTATACGGACCAGCAGAAGCGACCATTGGTTCGACATATTTTTGTATAGATTTTGATTTTAGTGAAAAAGTGATCCCGATCGGACGACCACTACCCAATTATGAATGTTTGATTCTGGATGAATTTTCACAAAAAGTTATCCTCGGCCAAGAAGGCGAACTATTCATTGGTGGTGTGGGCATTTTTTCTGGCTATCTCGGCCGTGCTGATCTGACGGCAAAAATGCTTCTCGAAATTGATAACAAAGTTTTTTATCGTACTGGTGATCTTATCCGATATGATCAACATGGGCTTCTGTATTATATTAGTCGAAAAGATTATCAAGTTAAACTACGAGGACAACGAATTGAACTATCAGAAATCGAGCGATGTGTTTTTAGTGCATCTGCATTCGTAAAGGGTTGTACCGTCATTAAATGGCTCGATGAGCATTTGATTGCGTATGTTCAATGTAATGATATCGACGAGGGACTACTACGCAATTATTGTCGCTCTCATCTTCCACACTACATGGTGCCGTCCAAGTTTATTCTTATGGAACGATTTCCTTTGAATGTAAATGGAAAACTAGATCGCCATCGTCTTCCAGCGCCTGAATTTTCCTCAGTAACTAAAAGCCATCATGATGACGTACCACTCACTCCACTAGAGCAGCAACTACAGGACATTTTTAGTCAAGCTTTTCAATTAAAAGCTCCAAATGTTGAAGCTGCTTTCGGTCAACTCGGAGGTACATCGTTAAATGCAATGCTTGCTCTAACACTTATTCGTCAACAAATATCTACTAAAGTTGATATTAGTCTAATATTTGCTAATCCATCTATCCGACAATTGGCTCGAGCAATCGAGTCATCTGTGCTTATTGAGAAATCATCATATACACCTCTCACAATGAAACAGGAACAAGAAACAACTGTGCACCTTGAGCCATCATTACTTATAGAATCTGTAGGAACTATAGTTCTCATTTGTCAATGGCTGTGGCCAATCATAATACTGGGTCAACGGTGTTCATCTCTTCTCGTCACCGTACCTCTAATTCATCTGATGTTCTATGCTATTTGCTCAAATCTACTCTCATCGAAAATTGAGAAAACCGATAATATGTTCTCATCGAGTTATTATCGATGGTGGTTTTTGGAACGTCTCTGGAGTAACAATACATATTGGCTACGATACTTGATTGGAACACCATTTTACAATTATTATCTGCGCCTTTGTGGCGCTCGAATTGGTCTTGGCACACATATTTACACAACAATTATCGATGCTCCATGGTTATTAGATATTGACAATGGAGTTTGGATTGCTGATTATACTTGTCTGAATTGTTTATCATTCAATGTTCGCGACATTTTTCAACTCCATTCAATAAAAATAGGTTCTGGTTGCTCGATTGGTACACGATCGATTTTGTTTGATGGAGTCGATATGCAAGAAAATATTATAGCTCAACCAATGTCACGAATTACAGGTTTTATTGCATCTCAAACGGTAATCGATGGCGATGAACATAAATCTCTCTCATCGGACACATTCATTACAGACTGTAATAGACCACTATCAATATGGCAAAAAATCTACCAAGCTATTGCACTCTTCTTATTGATCTGTATTCATTCGATACTTTTAATCATTTTCTATAAAATGCATGCATTCATACAATTACCACTACCCGTAGGAATTGCATTTTGTTGGGTCCTATGGTCAATTAGTAGTTTTTCGATTTGTTTGATTCTCCTCAAATTTGTTGTAGGTTCTTGTAGTGCAAATGAAACATACTCAATTGCATCATGGAAATACTTACATAAATTGTGGCTTCGTCAGTTAATAGTCTCAAGTTTTTATCATGCATTGTTACTACCAGCTAGTTATGATTACATATACCCTTGTGTTCTGCGTTGGTTAAATGCACACGTTGGAGATAATGTCAAAATAAGTGAAATAGATACTTTTCTGTCCTTTCCAACAAACTTATTAAAAATTGAAACGGGAGTTACTACATTTGGTTCAGTCTTAATGGTTCCTACTGAATTGGCAATGTCAGGATACCATCGTGTAGATTGCATAACGCTTGGAACCTATACAAATTTTGGTAATGGATGCTCGATTTTACCAGGAAGCCATCTTGCATCAGAATCAATGGTTGGTAATTTAACACGTGTCTCTCGAGAAACAGATTATAATGAGGGAAAGATTCTTATCGGTGTTCCAGCTCGTTCAATGCCATTTTCAATGCCACCAAGATCCGATACGATGGATCAGATTGAAGTCATCCCATTTTGGCATACATGTCTTACCCTTTGTATCAGCAAATGTATTCTTTTGTGGATTTACTTGACAGTGGGTCTCATTGGTGGACCAATAATCCACACAACACTTGTTTGTTGTTTCTATCGTTGGCGCTCATATGTACGTAATCAAACGTTGAAACATGTGTTAATAAAATTGTGGAGAGATCATCAACTTTTTATCTGTTCATTTCTCGGTAACTCACAATGGTTAGTTCAGGTATTTCGAGCATTTGGCGCACATATTGGCAAGAATGTAATATTACCAGACTTTTCCTGTCTCACTGATTATGACTTAGTAAGCATTGGCGATAATGTTCGATTTAATACCTATGCCAGTATTCAGGTAATATATGTCTATCAAATTCCTTTTACTCTCTCTAAGAATGTTCTAAAAAATTATTTTAGTGTCACAGTTTTGAACAACGAATTCATAAACTAGCCAATGTCACCATAGGCGATGGATCAGTGCTCATGAGTGGTTCATTTGTATTAGCCGGCTGCAAACTGATGGGTAATAATAGACTCTATCCATATACAATGGTGATGAAAAATGATCAACTGCCACTAAACACCAATTGGAAAGGAGTTCCAGCAAGTAAGTCAATTAGCGGTTGATAGAATTTCTTCAAAAAATACTACAAAAGTTGTATGACAAGTGCTATATTCGCTCATCTTTTCATTTGCATTCAGCATAGATGCAGTTTATTATTTTTGAAATGTGGAAGTTTAAAATATCAGATATGATGGCAGGTGCTTTTTACTAGACACGGGGAAACTAAAAGCTTGTTTCAGAGAATAAACCAATCAGATTTATACTAGTCTATATTTGTCACAGTTTTAATGTTGAATAATTACGCAAGATTTTCATGTAGACACAAATTCTAGTTTTTACATTAGATTTTTCAAATGACTATTATTGTCACGTCATGAGAAAGTTTCACGTTCATACAATAGTCGGAAAAAAAAGAATGAAAGTTTCTTATTTCTTTTTCTTTTCTTTTCAAATCTGTACTCTTTTATTCGATTCTTGCTAAAAGTGTCACTGATCATCAAAAATGATTGCATGAAATAATTTAATATATTGAAATTTGTTTTTCATAGGATATGTATCTGAAAATGCACACACAACTTCGTCTGTAATAGTTAGTGATAATTCCATTGAACACGAACAAACATATGAAAAATCTGATGAATTAACCATGCGGTACGAATGGATTGCAAGCACTTATGCCAACACCGATGATGTACAATTTATGAATTGCGGTTACGCAGATTTAGATCAGAATGGAGATAATAAAACTGCTAACTATTCGACAAAACTTTATGAACAAGTAATTTATAGAAAACAAAAAGAATTAACTCTTACAGTACTGCGTATAGGATACATCGGAAACATTAGATAGTGTCCAGTTTTGGTCCAAACTGATAAGGAAACTAAGTAATGTTTTTATATGACGAGGAGATGTTGAAACACAGATATTTTAAATCATTAGTTTACTGTGATTAATTATGAGGAACTTAATATTCAAAAATGATTCAAATCTACCCGTTTATACATAATCTACAGGGTCTCATAAAGTGGCAATATTAGTCCATCCAACACCGATGAACACTAGTAACGTTGAACTTCTTGATAACATCTTGCAGCTTACATAAATGTGTTATTTCATTTTTTTCCAATCAAAAGAGCACTTATTGTCAAATTCAATTATATCGCTCTTAACCTCATGACTCAACAAATAGCCTGAACAGTGATAACCTTCCTGGATCTTGAAACTATTTTCTACATTTGTTTAAATACCAAACTTAGCTAATTATTTAAAATTTTACTGTTTGTAAACTGTAATATGAGCTTCACCCAAAAATATTCACAATATTTTAAAGAAAAAAAAGATTAACTATCGTAGTATACACGAGCAATGAGTATGATTTTGCTTCTTTAAAACTTTTTATTAGCCATTTAATGATGATTGCTGTTCATTCTAGTTACGAAAATATTCACAGAGAGTGTTTAATGTTTCCGAGAAAAAGACCTCTATCTCTTGCTATGCGTATGGCATGCTGTTCCTTGTAGGCTCGATGTAGAATTTGCATTACTTTTTTAGCACTAACCATTTCGAAGAAGATAACAAGGAATTTAGATCAGTGATTACTAGTACCAGTTATATTCTTAAATAAGCTGATTGGTAGAAAAAAGGTTTTGAAGAGGTCTTAAAAACTGAAAAGTAATTGCAAGTTTTTCCAAATGTCAAAATTAAGGACCCATTTTCCATAGAAATACACATTCAATTGATATGACGCGTATTTAGGATGTATCCTAAGCGTAATTGTTCTGTCTTCATTGACTTTTGTTCGACGTACATATTTAACTAGAGCTGCCTTGAAATGTAACAGATAGAGTAGTAGCCATAACTACATTTTATTTTTCATTTTAGATTCTTGCCAATTTACCGCTTAAAAATATGAGTGTACTTGAACTGAGCTGTGGTATAGGTAATGGTGCTGCCTGGTATGCTAGCACACATGCACCTCGCTCTTATATTGGAATGGATCGCTCTCGTGCGTTTATTGACCTGTGTAAACGAACCCATTCAGCAATTCCTAGACTTTCTTTCATACAAGCTGATGCAACAAAACATTTACCATTTGAAAATGAATCAATGGATATAGTTTTCTGTGTTGAAGCAACACATGCTTACGGTGGACCGGCAGTAATCAAAAATTTTGCCGCTGAAGTTGCTCGTGTACTACGTCCCAATGGTTGCTTTTTGTGGTGTGACTTGTGTGATATGGATGGATCACGTGCGTCAATCACTCATCTGACATCAAACGGAGAATTCATTGTCGAACAAGAGATCAATATTACACCTAATGTTTTGCATGCACTTGACATACAGAGCAAGTCTCGCGCTAACATCATCGAACGCATTGTGCGACCTATAGAACAAGACGATTTTCACCAGTTAGCTGGAATACCCGGCACTAAAATTTATGAGGACATGCGTGAAGGACGCACTCAGTACTGGCGAGTAGTATTGCGCAAGAAAACAAGTAGTTGAAAACGAACTTTGAATCAATATTGCAAGTATCTTTTATATTCTAAATTTTACTGTTTATTTTAATTTTAATCGTTAAATAAAACTATGCTGTTCTAACTTCATTTTACTACATGACTTAGTCGGATATGAAATAACATGAAAATGATAGCTCTCGAATGTGTTGAATATGCTAATCTTGTTGTAGTGGTATCCAACAACTAAGAAATAAAAATTTCTAAGTATAGCTATATGCTACTATGATTTGTGAGTAAGTAGTGAGTGCTTGTATTCATTAGTGAAGTAGGATTGATAAATTATGGTCATATTATAAAGCAACTGGCATCAAGTTCTCTATTAATCAAGTATTGCTAGGATCGAATAATTGCGATTCGTAATCAGTTTACGTAATATACATGCTTGGTTTCTCTATAAAAATATCAATCACGTTGTGCATCTATCATCCTCCATCGAGAAATAAAGATGATGCCCTTTGAGTAATTGTTTGCAGGTTTTTATTCTTGAATTATCTTTTGGGCTATGCTGAGTTAGGACTATGAGTTTTTTTACTTTAACAGTTAGTAACGTAGCGTTTAGTTTACATTCACACCACAAGGTACTGTAGAAGTTACAGAGTCATTGATACTATCAAATATCCTATTATATCAAATGAAACTCTTTGAGCCCTTTTCATTCGAAAGTTATCTTGTGCTACTTTAAGCTACTTCGAAATACTTAAGTGTTGTGTTTTTTCCTTCAGAAATAGCTACGAGAAATTTCCCATCTGATCATAAATAGTATTTTGTTAATTACTTGCATTGAGTTTAATTTTTAAAAAAAGCATACTATTTACATCTGACATCTGATGGGTCAAATGGAAAGCAACAGCGAAGAAAATCCTACAAGAATGCATAGGAAATAATGCTGTACTTAATTCAGCTACAATTATATCTTAACCAAGAATTGAAATATAAAGTAGTAGTTAGTGTATCAGTTCTATAAAGATTTTATCGTCATAAAGGAATCTTACTGTTACCATGATAAATGAAACAAGAAGTAAGAAAATTCATGATAATTCGCGATACTTAAGTCAGTGAGAAAGTATCAAAACAGTTACTATTTCAACAGATTCGCATGATCATTCTGCCTCTCCTAATTGAGTTTTTGCTGAAAGCTACCAAAATGAATCTATACGCAGTATACTATCTCGTTAAAGTGTTCAGAAGGCTTGACAATTTACACAGTGACTCTTCCAAAACAGTTTGAATGTAACTTAACTATTTAAAGGATCAGTATTCAGTTCTAATTATGTTTTAAAAGTTTGTTTTGTAACTTATCATGTTTCATAATGGCACAACTAGAAACCAGCATAGGGTCTCAAAAACCAAAACCTTTGCCTTCATTTCAGTAGAAGCAGTTAGCATTGCATAGAGCCTAGTTAGCTGCGAAAAAATAGCATTTATTGACTTTAATTAGTACGCCAAACAATAGCATGCGAAGCACACTGCATCTCTTATGTGTTTTACTTTAAGAAGATGTAGTACAAAACTTTTTCCGTCAAGAGAATATTTGTTGATTTATAAGAAAAATATCAGTGATAAGAAATTAAAGAAATTATAGTCAATTTTTGTGATACGTTATTACCTCTAATAAATCCATTAGAAACTCCAACAGTTTCGTGTTGTACCGTTTTCATAGGTGTATTTAAAAAACAGTCAGTTACAAAAATGATTTCCTAAAATCAGTGAAGTAGCTGTACAAAAAAGCTTGTTTAAATAAGTACTGAAAACACTTTCCAATTAATTTCAATTTTTAAGATTCATCTAAAATTTTGTGAAGCTTCTTGTTCTTTTTCAGTGTAATCAGACTTTTATCGATTTCTGACGAGTGATGAGTCCAAGAGTGCATTCCAAGTTCAGTTTCGCATTTTATAGGAGTTTTTTTTACAATGAGAATAAAAGCAACGAGATAATTTGTTGTTTCTAAATTTAGATTATATGTTTTAAAAGGAGTCTCAGAAGATTAGATTGTCACAAAAGTTTTATACATTTTTCTACGTAATATTTTACAGGTTTTTTTATGTCTGGATTTCATTTGGTTCTCAAAGTGAAAAATGTATCATGATTTTTCTCGTATCATTTTTGTTAGTTTTACATGATGTTACATCCGGTTTTTTTAATGATTTGGTCAACAGAATAACAAGTCATCATTTACTTTTTTGCAAATGTTAATTGACTCAATTCACAAATATGTACGAAAGATATGTCCAGGTACATCAATTTTTCCGTTGATTTACTGATTTTCACAGTTATGCTGTGTGAGAAATGCAAAAGTCACCGCTATATTCCGAAAAGATGTCATGACAAGAATTATAAAGAAATTACACTTAAATAATTGCCTAAATTATCACCAGGAGATTCTTAAAATCGTAAATAATAACTCGTCTATACCAACCAAATGATGGACTGGATTAAATACAAGGGGGGAACAGCAGAATCCATGAATCCATGAATCCATTTGAATCCACTTGGATCCACTTGAATCCACTTGAATCCACTTGAATCCACTTGAATCCACTTGAATCCACTTGAATCCACTTGAATCCACTCTGATATGAAATTCTTAGAATTATAAAAATATGATAGTTTTCCCAAGTAAGCAAAAAATGAAGGGAGACTACCGACATGACTAGTCAGAAATCCCCGCAGCTTCCGTCAAGTCTAGTCTGAAATGTCTTGCATACCCGTCTTGTCTAGTCAGCTTAATGAGGAGTGTCTTACAAACACGTCTATACTAGTCTAAAATATCCTTGAGCCCAGTCATGTCTAGTCTGTATTATCTTTTGACCCAGTCCAGACTAGTAAGAAGATTAAAAAATAGGTTACACGGTGGATATGAACATCCAGCCCAACAGTGTTCAAAATATGACGGACATCCTGACGGCAGACTAGGACACTGAGATAGATTGCCGTAAGTATATATAGTCTAAACTTATATATTGACTCCCATCCATGTAAAGAAAATCAGAAATAAGTCGACTTAAACGGTATTGCTTAGTCTGAAATTTCTTCAACAGTTGTTAGGACTAGTCTAAAGCATCTGCTGGGCACCTCATGGGTAGTCTTTTTTAAGAAGTGTTTATTTCACTCAATGCTTATCTAAGTTTTCCTAACTAGAAGGACCAGCAAAAAGTCTGGTGTAATCAATAGTGCGGTCATAAAGATGCAAGTTATTCCGGATATCCCTATCGTGATATATTTTATTTTATTTTGTATAATCATATGTTAAACATTTACGAGTGTTGTATCGAAACATAAAATAGAAGGAGTTATTACTGAGAAAAATATTCATCTCGCATCAAGGACTGGTAATTTATATCATTTTTTAACTTGAGATCTACTAATTTGATAAGAATTGAGAAGCATCTAAATCTTTTTATATAATAATATTATGTTAGTTTATTTTAAATATCAATTCTAATAATTTACAATAAATCAAACATAATTTAACTATTAGATGAACATACGGTGATTTTAATTTAAAACTAAACTAAAAAATAATATGAAAAAAATTAGTTTCCATTCCATACGAATATTTTTTTATTTTATACTCAACTTAATGTTTTTAAAACCCAACTAATTAATCGCACTTGCTTATAAATCAAAATATATTTGCCGAAAAAATTATAAAATCTTCTTAATTTATTTTTATTTAATGTTATCTAAAGTAATCACGTTTCGATAAAAGATGATACATAAAATTAAAAAATTTGGAGTAAAAATTGTATTATATAGCATCTTAGAATGATCATGGGTGTCTAGAATATGACTTCTCGATCATATGGCTCAGTGGTTCTGGTGATGGGTAAGTGTCACATTGTATACAAGTTCGAATATAATCTTCATCCTTTACATATTTCCATTCAGACTAGTCCAGACTCATCCACTATATGAGGCTGCATCTGGTTGAATACTCCTCCCAGACGCCCTTAATTTTTCATTCATAAACCATTTTCGGACGGGCGACAGGGACACTCGTCACGACTACTCTTATTACATTTTATGACTAGTCGTCAATCAGAGTACTAGGACGCGTATGCATGACGATCTAAAACTCGGACTAGTTGTGGACGAGTAGATTTTCAGACATAGACTAGACTGGACGGGTCGACTTGACTAGAAAAAAGACTAGTCATTTAACCAGTCTTTTGCTCACTTGGGAGACTAATAAAAATTTTATCTAAAAGTACCAATGCAAACAAAAAAATAGAAGTATCGAATTTTTATAATGGATTTCAGAAAAATAGGAAATCATTTTACGAGACTTCATGTTACTCCACTTGACTCCATTTGAATCCACCTGAATCCATTTGAATCCACCTGAATCCATTTGAATCCACGTGAATCCACGTGAATCCACGTGAATCCACGTGAATCCACGTGAATCCACTTGAATCCACCTGAATCCACCTGAATCCACCTGAATCCACTTGAATCCAAGGGACTGGATTCTGCTGTTCCCCCCTTGATTAAATACCAATTCAGATGTGCCGATCGCACAGATGATTGATTTCAGCAAATAAATAATACTCACTTTTGTTTTTATTGACTAGCTAAAAATTCCTTTTTAAGTCTGTTGTCCGATTCATCAACGTGCAAATTATCCCTTTTGAACTGTATGTATAACCACCACCAATTGTTATACTTTTTAAGAATCTCAAGGTTAGAAATGCAGTTTTTTTCCTTCTCATTGAATAGTTTTTATTCGTGCTTCACCTTTACAATCATAGTGTGATTAATCACATCTTGCGCTTAACCCAATATAAAGTTAAATAATTGCACGCTAAAATAAATAAAATACGTTGCATTTATGTGTCGTCAGTTATTACATTGCAGTTAAAGATATCGTGTTTTGCATAATTCGTTATCATTCTACTGACTTTTCATTCACTATTTGGTTTTGTCTACACATCAACGTATAATAAACACGATGAATGGCTCTGAGCTTGCAATTTTTCATGTCTT